AGAGCTGACGCGGTTTGAGAAGAACAGATCTCTGTTGATGCGCGACGGACGAATTTTGGTCGGACCTAGTCCACTTTCAAATTCAGGGTAAACTCCGAACTCTCAACGCGCGGCATATCATTGGCGTACTAGGCAAAGCTAATTGACAATTAATTTGCAAAGAATGTTACTAAATTTTTGTAATTACAAACAAAATGGAACCACAATTAGATAATTGTCTATCATCTAAATGCAATTATCGTTTATCGTGAATTTGTTGGATGTTGAAAACAATAATATTTACTGGAATTCATTGGGTTAATTCTTTTTTGGGATACCTAGGTACTTGTTACAATTTTCCAATTTTAGTTTACCAGTCTCTTAGCATTGTTTAATGTGTTCGTGTCGTTTTTCTTCTTTTCACTTTTTTTTTTATTTTATAAAATCAGTTCTTTTCAGAACTCGGTTTTGCTCTGTACTATGCAAAGTAAATTCACACTTTTTTTATAAATATTTTTAATATCAAATAAATTATTTTAACCTTATTATAGATAATACTTTTGTATACAATGTCTAATAACTCAAACATTATAGTTAATGGTCCTTGTTATAAAATTTATGACGGAAGAAACGGAAAATGGTTTAAAAATTCTTTTGAGCAATTATAGAGATTGTGTTTTAGCAGCTACAGAAATAAGCGAGAAAAGCTATCGTTCCATCCAAAAACAAATGAAAGAAATAGCTGCTGGAACTTCATCTTCATTTTCTTCTCTACCCAAAAATTTTGTCCACGTCCACAAAGCACTTTATGCGAAAGAGAAATTGAAGTGACTATATGAAAAAAGAAGATATGATGCGGCCCAAGAACTGTGAAGAAATGTGTTTCACAGTAAATACCGGCGATTCAGACGGAGTTTTGCTGGCCTGATAGCGAAGAGGAGGAAACTAGGCTTTCAGCACCTATAAATTAAAAAAACATAATGAAAATAAATTGTTATAAATAAATATAAAATAATTTTCTCCAATTTCTCCCTTTGCACGAACAGAACCACGACGCCACTGGTTCCAAGCTTACGGTCAGATCGTGATGACTCACTGTGTCCTTCTCAAACCGCGTTAAACAGTGAGTTTAACACAGAACAGAGGTTTAATAAAAAACATTAATTTTGAATTAATTCTGTATTAAAATCGAACAAAATTGGATTGAAAATTGCTCAAATTGCGTTATTTTAGCCTAAAATTGTAATTGAAGTAATTATTTTAATAAAAAACATTAGTTTTGAATTAATTCTGTATTAAAATCGAGCAAAATTTAATTGAAAATAGCTGAAATTGCTTTATTTTGGAAGAAAACTCTTATTGAAGTCAGTATTTGGTTGAAATACTTTGATTCAGGTTGATTCCCAACTTCAAATTGAGCCAAATCGATTGAAAACAACACAAGTTGCTTTATTTCAGCCTAAAATTCTCCCTTTGCACGAACAGAACCACTACGCCACTGGTTCCAAGCTTACGGTCATATCGTGATGACTCACTGTGTTCTTCTCAAACCGCGTCAGCTCTATCTCCTCCTTGAGCGGACACTCTCTAATGTTACTAAGGCTTCTAAAAAGGTACGATATATTTTTCATGAGATTTGAACGTAATTTTTTTATAGAAAAATAGACCAATCGAGTTTTTAACCTGTTCAAAAATTCAATTTTAAATTTTGCGTTCACGCGCTTGTTGGAACAGGTCTTCTTCACGGTCTCAGTATAGTTCAATCTTAAAATAATTATACTTCCTTAACTTTTGTGGAGCAGCGTGTTTGCACAACTATAAATTATAACTGTCATCTACAATGCTAATTGACATGGCGCATAACAGTACACACGTGAATTCTAACGCTACTTGCAAAGGCAATATAAATAATCAAGTAAAATGTGATGTGTGCACCAACATTTTTCACTCAAGTTGTGCCCGTGTGTACGGAAAATATGTGAACGATATTTTCACGTGCTGTGTTTCTCGAGAAGAGAATTCTAATTCTAACCTCGAAGAAGCTGCTACTTTTTCTGACGCTACCGATATTGTATCCCCAAATGGCAATTCTACGGACATTTTTAACTGTAAGATTGAGCCTCAAGTACTTCATTTTATTATTTCGCAAAAAGATGACATGATTGCTGAACTTAAGGACAAGGTCAAATATCTTCAATCATATATCGACCTCTTAGAAAAAGTTGTGAAGGTGAATGATAGAACCATTGCTGATAAGGCACACGTAGTTGAAAAACCAAAAGTCAATAAATCAAAACAAGTATCAAAATCTAAAAAAGTGACTACGCCAAATCCTGTAGTAGAATCTACTAACAAAAACGACCCGATGCCGGTAGCGGCAGCAGAAATAACTAATCAACATGCAGCGGAACGCCATCGCCAGGGTAATGATGGGAAAGGTGAAACAGAGTCTTGGCAAGTAGTCTCCCGCAAAAAGCTCGTAAAACTATTACGGGCAACAATAGTCAGTCGTTGTTGAGGGCAGCGCCAAAATTTGTAAATCTTCATGTTTATCGACTAGAGACGGGCACAACTGTACAGGAGATCACGCAGGCTCTGAAACCCAAATTCAAAGAAGTCGCAGGTGAACAGCTTAATTCAAAACATCCCGATGTTTACTCATCTTTCAAGAATACAGTCTATGAAACCGTACCTAAATCGCACCTTATATGGCATTTTTCTCTGGGGCGCGAGTTCTGGCGTATCCTGTGTAGTTGGTACCAACAATATTTGAGACTCATTATAGAATAAGACGATTACCCCCCACGGTTCATGGGGCTTGCGGTAGAGATGCCATAAACAAATTTGCATTTCTTAGGACAGGTACGTTTCAAACGTTTGTAGAAAGAGATGGTCCGTAACAGAAATTTGTTTTTGGGCTTTCTTAAAAAAAATTAAATTAATTTTAATATTCAGCTATATTTTGAGATTGTTTCTTTACAAATCTGCATTATCACTTTAATCTTAAACTAATATATAAATTCCCAAATTTTTGCCTGTAATAAATTAAAAGCCTACCACGAAAATTTCTGAATACGGCCCTTTTGTAAATCTTCAGGGTAGTACCACCAGCAGCAAAAAATTATTACGGGCGACCGCAAGGCTGCTTAACCCTCAATAAAGCTTTGCATAAGTCAATCCCAAATATTCCTGGTTACGGCTATACAGGGAACAAAACTGAAGGTTAACAACCTAAAATATTGTCATAGTCAAGTGGCCGTAGTTTTCACTTCCTCAATTTAATAGGATTAGGATTGCTGACCGCGCGCGCTACTAACATGCGGGCGTTTCTTACCTCGCGCGCTACTGATTAGTAGGATAAGCAGAAAACTGACCGCAGCGCGCTAGTGATATGCGGCCGAAATGAGTGGTGATATGCGGCCGAAATGAGTGCTGCAACTTATCATACCATTGGTTAGGTAAAATTTTGTCTTCGGCGCAGTTTTCATAAAAAAGGTACAAATCGCTGCAACATGTGCTCATAGCTACTGGTTTTGCAATTTGCTCACCATCGGTGTTTTAATTGAGAATGTATGTTATGTCCGACAAACCTAACATGTTATAATACATGTCAAAAACAGGACTAATACAAAGAAAAACACTCAAACACAATCCTTCTTACGTCGAGTATTGCCAGTCTTATTAACATCCACCCCACGATTCGTTATTGTTTTTTACTACACGGGGTGTCCGGAAGGAAGCTGCAGGTATAATGGAATGATATCAAAATGAAGGTTTGGGATTGTGATCAATCAACAATTTTTATTTCAGTCAAAGATTTTTTCATCAATTTATCAGTTACTGTGTTCCGTTTTTTAGCATTTTTTATTTTACATTTAGTGGAAACGTATTATTAATATTATTATGACCAAGATTAAAGATTAGATAAAACCTTGTCATCTACACAATAAAAGTAAGCAGCAAATAAAAGATGATTCAGACATGAGTTTTGTAAAATGAATATAGAATTTATTAGTGAACAACTTCAAAAAATTGCTCAAAATTCGTTGACATTTGTAATTTTATTATAACATTGCGAGTTGTTTTAATTAGTAAATTTTCTTTTTAATCTAATGTAATAATTATACGAATATTAGATAAAGAGTACATAGAATGTGTATATGAGTATAGTCGTCACCAAGAATATTTGAGATTGACGTATGCAAAGCTTTATTGTGGGTTAAGGCTTAACTTATCGTTTGCCAAGATATGGAATTTCAATGCATTTTTCGAAAAGGTTTTTCTCGGTTATTATAAGGAATTTTTTGTTTTTTATTTTTTTGATGAAACCATTTTAGATATTTCTAGGGATATTGTTATGTAGCTAACTTAAATTATTATTTTTTATATATTTTTTAACTTATTTTTTATAATAACTGAACCATTTTAATTAAAAACCCTTTTTAATATGATGCGTTTCCACTGTGGGGAACATTTCCGGTAGTTGAAACAATGTTCACTTGTTTTTAATTAGGGGCAACTAGTTGCTTTTTTTATTCTTACCCTAGGTTTTGCACTCCACTTTCTTTATACGAATTATTTATTTTTGTAAATTACGAGCAACATTGAAGTAAAAGTAAATATTCATATCGTAAAGTTGGTGAAAAGTCGTTTTACTTGAAATCGTTCTACCTATTCCTTGCACAAAACAAACCAATTTGAAATGGAAACATAAAATTGTATGTGACTTGGAGTTTGTCTAAAAAGTTTTGTTCGAAATCTCGTCTTTGTTTAATTTGGTTTTGTGTAAGCTGTTGTTGTAAATAAAAATCTGGGGATTTGAGGAAATAGTTGGGTGACAGTCGGTAGGTGACTACTATCTACTCAACTTGCAATGCTTTTTGAGATAATATCTAATAAATCGAAACAGTTATTGTACTAATCAATCATTTAGAGCAATAGACAAATGTTGAAATTCGCTGACCAGAAATTGTTTTTCTCGTCGTATAATCCCAATAGAAATACAAAATAAACTGACATACCTGCACTTCGAATTTGTGTATGATTCCATCACATATTAGCATATTTTAGGAGGAAAGAGTCGATGTATCGATTAGATTAGGTTCTGTCGGCTCCACAAATCATTTTCCCAAAACAACAAAAGCAGAACTCGGTTCAGTGTTGGCGATATGAGGCTTAGGTGCAACTTGCTGTAATCCCACTATGAGATGAGCGTGTAAGAAAGGTCTTCTTGCGCGAAGGAAGGTTTGCCCGAGGCCACGGCCTTTCAAATAACCAGCCATAAAACTTGTAATGAGTTCCCCTAGCGCCCCCCCTAACCCTTCCACACCCATATCTGACACCTGTTCGGCTGTTCGTCTCACTCCGTCAGTGCCTCTCCACTGTCCCGAGGAATAAACAACCGTTCCAAGCGGATCTAGAGATCTAGGTGTCTCCAAATCGCTACTGTAATTTCCTTAATTCAAGAGTAAAACCTAAGACGGCGCTAATTATTTAAGCATCCGACTGGATATTAATTCCAGGATACGAAATAAAGAAAAGTTAAACTCCTGAGCGACATATTTGCCTGCTCCTATGAATAAATCAACATTAAGGAATTTAAAAATAACCGTGTGAATATTCATGTGTTGGAGCAAGAGCTTGTCCCATAATCGCAGATCGGCCGGCTCAGTGGCGGCTCGGGAATTTTAAATTCCGAATCTGAACACTGATACTAAATCCCACTTCAAAGACCAAATTCATAAACAATTGTTGTGTTTGTAGAGGGTGTATTAATAAATGGATATGGAATTCTTTATAAAACTTCTGTATTTTCAAATTATGACTTGTATAAAAAGTAATTGTAACTTGAAGGAACTAACAACAGTAATTCCAATGTGTACTTGATCACTTGATTACTTGATCCAGAACACCTCCCCTTCTTAATTCATTTGTATATAGGTAGGTAATTTCAGAAGTAACCACTTTTCATTTATTGACTTGTCCACTCGCGGGTCTTGACACTTCGGATGTACAGGTCCTGTGATTCTGGGAATTAAAAAAAAAAAGAATGTACTCATCACTTTAAGAATACATGTAAATAAAATTGACTCAAGTTTATGTGGTTGTAATAATTTGGTTGATGTGCCTTTTCCAAATACGTTCATGGTCTAACTTTATCAGATAATGTAATTTTCCAATTTTTTGTATAATAACTCCTCTTACCCATTTGTCTCCCCTATAATTTCTTACTTGTACCAGAATTCCTACTTGTAAATTTCTAAATTTTTTATTATTATTGTAATCCTTAAAATGTGTGTAAATTGTATCTGGTCTAAGCAAATCTAATCTTGACCGAATTTCTCTAGAAAACATTAAAAATGCAGGAGTTTCATTTGTRCTACAATGAGGTGTAATTCTGTAGTGCATTAAAAGTTTTTGTAAATTTAATTCAATGTTTTTATTTTCTTTTATTAATGAATTTAARGCGTTTTTAAGAATTTGAAYAAAACGTTCTGCTTGTCCGTTACTTGCTGGATGAAAAGGTGCAGTTTGTTTATGTACTATATTGTTACTTTGAATAAAWTCTTTAAATTGTTTCGAGCACAATTGAGAACCATTGTCGCTCACAAAAACTTTAGGAATACCAAACATTGCGAAAATTTCTCGACAGAATTTAATTGTAGAATCTGTTGTAGTGTTATTTACTATTTTAACAATTGGRYACTTTGAAAATGCRTCAACTAAAATAGCAAAATATTTTCCTTGAAAAGGACCTGCAAAATCGAAATGTACTCTTTCARAAGGCTTACTCGTTGGTTCCCAAATATGATTTTCGGCTTTTTGTGGATTATTTCTGACTTGTTGACAATTCTGACAACTTTTAATCAAATTTTCGATATCATYATCAATATTTAGCCACCAACAGTAACTTCTAGCTAAAGCTTTTGTTTTTACAATACCAAAATGTCCATAGTGTAATTCTTGTAAGATTCTTTGTTGTAAAGATTTTGGAATTACCACCCTGTGACTACGAAAAAGTACGTCTTGCTGTAAACTGAATTCATGTATATCGATATTAAATGATTCAGATTTTTTTAAATTTAAACCCTTCTTCATTTTGTTTATTATGTTTGATAATATTTTATCATTTTTAGTTTCGTGTTGAATTTCAAATAATGTAGCTGGTAATTCTTCTATAGTTTGAATTTGAAAAACGTCTATCACATCGAATTCAGAATCTCGAGTTAAATTTTGAGGTAAGCGTGAAAGACCGTCTACATTACAATGATCTTTTGTATTTCTATATTTAATAGTGTAATTGAAACCTTGAAGAAATAATGGATAATGTTGCATTCTCATTGCACTGTACATTGGTAAACTTTTAGAAGGTGAAAAATTTGTACTAACGGTTTATGATCTGTAATAATTATGTAAACTTATTACCGTAAAGATATTGATGAAATTTTTTTATTCCAAATATTATGCTATACGCTTTCTTTATCAATTTGTGAATACTTCTTCTGAGTTTCAGTTAAAGTTTGAGACGCGTATTGAACTACTTTTTCTGATCCACTGGGTGCATTTGTGATAAAATAGCTCCCACTCCGTAATAACTTGCATCTGTAGCTAAAATTGCTGGTAATTTTGGATCAAAGTGTGCTAAAATTGTATCAGATTTAAATGCTTCTTTTGCTGTAATAAAAGCTTTTTCACATTCTTTTAACCAAATAAAAGGTACATTTTTATGTAGAAGTTTATTTAATGGATGTAAAATGAAACTCAATTTTTTTATGAATCTACCATAATAATTAATCATACCGATAAATGCTCTAACTTCTGTAATATCTTTAGGTTTTGGCATTTCGTCTATAGCTTCAATTTTCTTTTTAGATTTATGTATACGTAATAATCCTGGAGTGTAGTCCGCTTTCGCCACTTTAAATAAATTGAAATCTCCTTGTAGTTTTCTCAGCCAATTCTTCCAGTTCATGGTTGGTGTAAACAGTTCAATGTTAAAAGTTGCCTTGAATGGTGTATCGACTTGTGTAGAGCTTGTAGTATTTCCTTTATTTCCACTAGGCATCTTCCTTTCTTAAATATCTTCGAAATTGTATGTACTAATGTAATTTTCTTATTTCTTTTATTTCTTTTATCCTCGTCGCCAATTTGTTGTGTTTGTAGAGGGTGTATTAATAAATGGATATGGAATTCTTTATAAAACTTCTGTATTTTCAAATTATGACTTGTATAAAAATTAATTGTAACTTGAAGTAACTAACAACAGTAATTCCAATGTGTACTTGATCACTTGATTACTTGATCCAGAACAACAATACATTGCATTTCTACTCCTTCTTTCTTTTTGCGCATAAGTTCGATATTTCACATTGACGCGGTTTTCTATCATTTTACCACAAACGGAACACTCCTTCCTAACAGCTACCGGTCACGCCCGGGATTCTACAAGGTTCCGCACCAAGTCCCCCTTATTTTCGTGCTCTATCCAAAGAAATTATCGCAAATTATCTGTGTTGATGATTTCCTTTTTGACTAATTTGCCCAGAAATACAGCGAACAAAAGACCGATTCCGAAATTTCCCCATACTAATATGATGGCCACCAGTGACGCAATTACCCGCGACGCGGTGGGCACTCTTCAGTACCCTTATTTCTACAGCAAATAAAATAAAATTCAACATTCTATACTTATTTTAGAAAAAAACTAAAATGTAATAGATTGTTAGCTATAAGTTGAGATTTGTTTCTCTGGGTATATACGTTTGCTAAAAACATACAAATTTGTATTAAACTTATGGTTAATTATTATTTAATGATATTAATAGTCCAAGTATAAGTGGAGACCTAGCTCCTAGAATATATATTTTTTGTAATAACATCAGAGAAAGAGTTTATTAGACATGTACTAAAGACAATATAAAAATTAAGTTTTGAATTTTTTGAAATTTATCAAGATGACAGCTGAAAAGGGCGTATGTCAATTCGTAAATCCTACCGGTCAGTTCGACCACGATATTAAATCCAAAGGATTAACTTATAAAGGAGGTAGGTAAACTAAAACATTTTTATTTTATTTCATTACAATGAATTTGGCAAATAATTGCTATAAAGTGATTTCACAAATGTGAATCTAGATATTGATTTCACATTGTACTCACGAATTTTTTTATTAACATACTTTTTTTGAAACACACACACACACTTGACAGGTGGCGCTCTGCGCTACCACTGTCGCATCTTCAACATACTTTATTTGATTTTAAACATTTTTTCTGTGTGACATTGAAATTTACACAATTTTTTGTAAATACAAATATGTTTGGATGTGATCCGTAAAACGAAGCATTAAATTGTGAGTGAAAAGACTCACATGCGTTATTTGTGGAAAGTGGCGACCAAAGTTTCGGGGAAAATCAGCCATATCATCGAAATAAAATTTACGCAAATTAGCTATAAATTCTAAAACTTTTTTGTCATTAGGAATTAAGGAATATAATTCTGATTCAAAAAATTCTTTTGCCTCACCTGGTTCTAAAAATTGTATTCCAAAGTGCAATCTTAAATAGTTCCCTATTGAAGAATTTTTGTCTTTGTATTATGTGACAAGACCTAAAGCTTGAATTTTTTTAAGCCAATTATGGCATAAATGAAACCTACATCCAGCTATTTCGACATCTGACCACACAGACTTACACGCATTTTGAATCGCCGTTTCAAAGTCAATAATAATTTGTTTTTGAATTTTCTTTCCAATTTAAATTTGAACACTTCACTTCAAAGTACCTCCTACCCCTCTCTTATTGTCTACCTAAATCATAAATACCCCCCGCAACTCCGGCTGAAATATGTTTTTCAACAAATTTTTCAATAATTATTTTTCTATTAAGGTTAAATAATTTCAGTATGTTGAATCCATTTAATATCAGATTCTAATTACATACCTATCACTCCACCTTACTGCAGAAGTTAGCAGCTTAAACAGGGTGCGCCAGAACTCGCGCCTCAGAGAAAATTTTCAAGTAAAGTAAGATACCAGGACCACGGAAAAAATGTTTAAAAATTCTATCTGTCAAAAAATTTTGACATTTATTTTTTAACATTTGACATTTTTTTATGTGTGTTTAATGATACTGATGAACTTGTATATGTTTTTGTACAATTATTTAGTAGAGGTACAAAAATTTTGCCAATAAAAGCCACAAATAACAGTGAATAGAGTTACAATT